ATGAGCAGGTTATGACTGCCGTGTCACAGCCTGCCTCAGTCCCCCAACAGCCTGCACTGTCCTTTATAACCCGGGTAACCGAAACGGAATAATGCTCAATAATGACAATATCGCTGGACAGGTGGCTAAATTTTACGGAGACCTAGCCACGGTCTCCTATCCTTCTCATTCACCATTTGGACGCGGGGCTGACAACAACGGCGTTGCTTAATCAAGCATTAAAATATATTAAAAAATTATGCATAACCGAAATTACCTGAACAGCGCCCGCCCGCAAACTCCTAATGACTTCAAAGTCGTGGTGCCCAGCTGCAGGGCTCCGATGTACTAAATCCATAATTTAAACATGCTACAAACAAAAAATATTAATCCATCCGCCTACCTCACTGTTTAGGTACTGGCATACAGGATGAAAATGAATATCCTCCGGTTCGGCCATTTTTAATCCTCTTTAAAACAACATCAAATACATAAACAGTGTTAACAGCACGTCACATTGTACCTTTCTTTTTCGAAAAACAACAAAATTTCCAGAAGCGTGGTATCATTAGAAAATGACTTCTGACCGCGAGAGCCGTCTGGAAGTTGAACCGCTACTTCCACTTTAGGAGCAGTCTAAACACAAAGTCAAAAGCAAAAGCAACAGTAAAACCGCAACATATGATATCTGCCGAAAATTCATTTATTTATTGGTTTGGTGCATGAGTGTCTAACGAGGTGAAACCCCAGAAGCCTTAGAAATCGTATCTTTTTCTTACATGTGGGTTCAAAGCTGTTTCCAACTCAGCCATTTCCAAGACACAGTTCGGAGACAGTCCGGAAAAACGAAACGTCAACGATGTATCCAACAGTTTCCCGCGATACCTGTAAAAATGACGTGGTTACGTTTCTCAGGGCCACTTACGAAAAAGATAGTCAAATTACTTCAGTCCGTAATTGTCCACTACATATCCCTGCTTCTGACATGCAGTTTCGAGGGCCTAAAGACCAAAACCGGGATAAAGTTTCAGTAAATTACAAAACGGACATACGTAAAATAACGTTTTACCGCCGTCTAGTTGGACTTCCACGCGGTGGGCATTTGGACACATAATGACCACCTTATGCATTTCCCACCGAACAGTTTTCACAACAGATTCTTCACTTCTGAAACAATTCTTGGCATGTAAATTATAGCACAGTGAAAACGAAGCAATTCATTGTATTCTTATGCTATTACTAATGAAAAACATGAAATTTTCAAGGAAAAAATTGAAGAATGCAGGCCAACTCGCCACCTTCCAAAGTTGATAATAACATCGCTGCACGAACAGACATGACAAACCTGGTTTAAACAATTAACTTATTATGCGCTTCTACAGTTACTCGACGAGGAAGAAGGAAAGCTATTAACTAAATTTTATACCGCTATCGTAAACTTTACTTCAAAGCATCAAGTATTGTACAGCATTCTGGATGATTAGGTTATATACAGAGTCCGGTGGTACAATGAATTAGTTTCCAAAGGAGCACAAACACGCACCTGCGGAAGTATCGGCTTTCAGGATGACGGTGCTGGATTAAAATCTAGAAGAAAAGCTTTTTTAAGCGCTAATTTCCCTGAGCAATTGACTTACCAAATGTTCACAGCCGAAAATGCGACAATGAGTAACTTACTTGAGTAAATCGGGACAACAATATTCAGAAAGTGGATTTGTTAGCCAATAGGGGTAAAACAGCAAGTGATTACACAAGACTGGAGTATGCAATAATACTGTGATGCATGCATCTCTAAGGCTGCATTTACCTTGACGAACTTGCTAGCTGCTTATACAATGTAAAAATCACCAGAATTAGAAACGTATGTTGCTGTTCCGAATATTGAAGTGAAATGGCAATGTGCTTGTGTGAATAAGTACAATGCAGGACGATTTTGAACTTGCCGTCAAATTAGGAAATCTTTTTTAAAGCAGATAACTGGTTAAAAATGACCTAGTGAGGGATTATTTCTGAGAGTGATTTTACTCGTAGATTGGTTTGAGAGATTGGGTGGAAGTACAAGATAAATCAGAACAGAGTCAACATGTAACAGTGTAGATGTACAAGAACAAAATTATTTGATTAGTACATGAGGCCTTCACCGCTACTTTTAAACTATGGCCCTTCCTGCATTGGATATCGTCTTTCACGCATACAGTAATACCCCGACATACACGAACTCGGAGTTATGCTTATAGATTTTTTTGTTTCGCAACACTGCCACCGCTATTTTCAGTCTTTCTCTTGCTGTAATACGCATTGAATGCGTTTCGTGCGAAATCTACCTGCACGATTGCGATTCTACGATCGAAGTTAAAGTTGTTTTGTTTTGCCTTTTCTAGACCCTTAGAATATCTGTCGTCCAAACGAAGTAAATCTCATTTTCCTGCATCTAGTAAAAAAAGGAAAAGAATATCTTTGGAAGGTAAACTTAACAATATCAATCACTTTGATCGCAGAATGAAAATTTTTGAATTGGCAAAGAAGCTTGACCTACCGGAATCCGCAGCAAGATCAATCATAAAAGATAAAGTAACAATTCTCGATGCAGTGAAAAATGCTCAAGCCTTGAACTCAAACATAATTCATAATGTCATGATATTATTGCTGAGATGGAAACAGTGTTGAAATTATGGTGTGGCTATCAAGTAAAAGTGAAGAATTGTCCTGTCGATCAGAAAACTGTAAGCAAGAAATCCGACCGGCAGAAGGCCCAGGGGACGGCCAAGATTAACCTGGTTCAAGTATATGGAAGGAGTCTGTTCCAGACTCCATTTTTCTTTTGCCGAAGCTCAGACTCTGGCACATAATCCGGAACGTTGGAAGCTCTGTCTGATGTGTCTGCCTCCGCGACCCGAAAGAAGCAGCGATCGGGATGATGACGATGGGTAGCAGTGAGCTGCCTGGCTGCCCAAAACGGACTTGAAAAGTTTTGTGATCCGAATTTTGCTTTGTAGATCGGCGTAATGGAAATTTTATTTCTGGATTTGTATCGACCTTCAACGCCTTTCCTGGATACTGGGAGATGCTTCTTAAATTGAACCATTTTAATATTGCGCCACTTTTCTAATAAGCCGAAACGGAGATGCGGTCCTATTCGTGTCTACAGTTCACTTCTGTATAGAAGGCCTGTATCATTAAGTAGAAGCTCATTGTAAGCGTCCCGCAGTCATAAATTTGGACTATCAAATGCATGTGCAAAATTTACGCCAAATATGTAGAACAAATATGGTAGGAGTTTATTCCAGACTACATGTCTTTTGCCGACGCTCAAACCCTGGCACAGGATCGGGAACATTGGTAGCACTGTCTGACACGTCTGCCTTGGTGACCCGAAAAAAGAAGCGGCCACGGAAGATGAAAATGAAGATGTATAACAATGCAATACTAATGACTGCGCTTGACTGGAATCGCATGACTTGACCTAACTTGTGACTGATTACATTTTGAATTTGACAAAAGACACGCACATGATATATTGCAATCATTACGCGATAGCGCTGTCAATCAAACTTGCAGCGAATGACTCAACAAATCTATTAACATTGTTACTTACTCCTTATTGGTATGAATTTTTGCTTGTTTTGCAGTTCAAACAAATCTGAGCATTTCACTCCCCATAGTTTGAAGACGCGCTAGGCGGTGTTAAACAATATCTGGCCAGAAAAGCCAAAAACCAAAAAAAATTCCCTTCACATTACAGATCGTCAGAATTAGACAATGTATAAGCATGTGATACCCATTAAATACCGATATACGTCAGCTGTAACGCACAACAAAAAACATTTTATTTGAAAAGCAGTGATACGATGCAAACAAATTAACACGCTGTAAAACTAAAATTTGTTTTTAAGATTGGCTGTGGTACATAAAATGTCGAAAGCTTTCTCTGACTTTGATGTCCTGATCCGTCTTCACTTTTCTGACAACGTGCAACGAAGGTACCCGTTTGCGCTTGCTTAAACCAAGAGATTTTGTTTTGCAGCATTTATTAGTGACCTGAAATGAATAATCATAAAAAAGAACGTACTAGAGGGCAGAGTCAATTTTAACAACTCAAGCCTACTAATCTTAGTATCTAAGTAACAAATGAAAAATAGGTATGGCATGTTAAAAAAATCTCACTTCAATTGTTCCAGCCAGTGAGCTGACACGACTGCATTTATGAACTTCGATATCAAAATACTTTTTAATTAGTAGCCCTGGCCCATCTAGTTGGCACCGGGACGCCTAGCACCAAGGGAATGTGTTATACGCTGTGAAACCATGTTTTTGAGTAGTAATTCACTTATAAAGATCACTAATATAACGTGCTCTTAGAAAAAAATCACCTTAAAGACGTAAGCATGTTTGTCATCGCCTGGCCGTAAGCACGTGTGTCACTATTCTGACACAGTTTCAAGATTTGTCATCAACCATCCCAGCTCTATGCAACACAAGGGAGATCTCATTTCATACGGTCTTGACATGTGCTTTTTTCAGTCCCGCGGGCATGATCGGCTGTAATTAAATGACAAAATTACTTGTGGTGGTGCAGCAGGGGAGCAGCCTTCAAGCTTCGTTTGAGCTTTAGCCGACTCGCGTACTTTAATCAGCTCACAATCGGCGTCGTTCGAAGGTGAAGGTCGCTTAGCAGTACGTTTGCCAACAGCAGTCTGTGGAAAGAACTGCTTCAGCGTTGGCATCGAAGACCCGCTTTGAGACGATT